CAGGTACTGACACCAGGCAATAAACCAGCCAGCAATCCTGTTTTTCAGCACAAATAAGTGGGACATCAACTAAATGAGTTCCCCTGAGGAATCAGGATCTCTTTGAGTATTCATGTGCACATAATCATGTCATTTTTAAAAGTGTCTCAGAAAGAGCAGCAGTAAACACAGCTAAATAACCTAAGCTGATGGTGCACAACAATGCATTTTCTGATTATCTCCATTTTAATAAGGTCATACTCTGAATAAGCAATGACTTATAAAGAAATGTGGAGTGTTCTGATCTTAGGCATGTATAAGACTTAATAACATGACGGCATCCTAATGGAGTTTTCACATCATTTTGCAACATTTACTACATTTGGAAGTTAAAAAAAAAGCCATCTTTAAACTACACTCTGCAGCTCTGTTGATAATGAACAGGGCAAAAGACAGATGGTAGGAAAGAGGATTTGCCAAGAGAGTAACAGCAATATAAGCATGTAAAGCATAATCTGCCTGTGTCACACTGATCAAATCTGTCACTGAAATTAAGTCATATCACCCAAACAAAAAAACAGACAGGAGGTTCTCAAAGAGACTTGATCTGGTTAGAGATATTGGCCCATTGTGCTCATGCAAAGTTGAATGTGAAAGCCATATTGTTTCTCTATGGATGAGTCACCTTCATTCACTGGTTCCAGAGAGATCCTTGACTGACAATACAGCACTATTTACCACCTACGCATCACTATGTGTTGAATGAGAAACAGAGAGAGAGACGAGAGCGAGAGCGAGACAGAGAGAGAGAGAGAGAGAGAGAGAGAGAGAGAGAGAGAGAGAGAGAGAGAGAACTTTTCACTCAAATGCTAATGTTAACATCTCTCCCTCTCCCTCTCTTCTCCATGTTGTTCTGTGAGTGGATCAAAGCATCTGCCGGACATATGACGCTATTCACACAGCAAGGATGTGTGTGTGTGTGTGTGTTTGTGTTTGTGTGTGTGTGTGTGTCTGTGTTTGTGTGTGTGTGTGTTTGCGCGCGTGTGCACTCGCGTGCACTCGCTTTTGAAACCTCTTCAGAACCGTTTCCAGCATTAACCAAGTCCTAATGACACAAAGTTCATTTCTGAGGTCCTGGTTAAGGTTAGAGGTAAGACATGAATTGGTCATGGTTAAGTTTAGGGTTAAGGTTTTGGCTGTCAAAACAATCAAAACAATTCAATTCAAGGTCCTAATGAGGATAGCTGCACAAACATATTTGTGTGTATGTGTATACTCCTGTACAACTATTTTTGTGAGGACCAGATTGAGCAAAAAAAACCTACGAAGTGAGGACATTTTGGGAAAGTGAGGACATTTTGGGAAAGTGAGGACATTTTGGCCGGTCCTTACTTTCTGACCCACTTTTAATGGACTGTTTGGTGGTTAAGACTTGGTTTTAGGGTTAGGGTTAGAATTAGGTTTAGTTTAGGTTAGGTTAAGGGTTAGGGTTAGGCATTTAGTTTGGATGGTTAGGGTAAGGGGCTAGAGAATGCATTATGCCGATGAATGTCCCAACTAAGATAAAAGTACAAATGTGTGTGAGTGTGTGTGTGCGCGTATTAGGTAGAGAGAAAGAGAAAGAATGTCTCTATGCAAGCTTCAAGCCAAATTCAAAGAGTCATGACGCCACACAGATTCAGACGCTGAGGGGCAGAGATGGAGGAGTGAAGATGGAAAGAAGGAAGGAGAGAGAGAAAGATGGAGGGATAGGTGTCTCTGACTCAATCACTCTGAGGACAGACACAAAAGAGAAAAAGCAAGTTTCACTTGTAAAACTCCAAAAGATGAGTCCCTGTTAAGTTGTTCTCTCTGTATCCAAACAGAAATCCATGTTAATTAATAAATCATGGACAAAAAACACGTAGCTCGGTCACAAGAGTATTCAAGCATTAAGTTCAACACAGAATTGTATTCATTATTAATGAATTATTTTCAAAAGACTGAACAATAATTGGTTATGAATTTTTTCTTCTTCAATAACATTAGCCAACCTTTTTTAGAAATAATCGTAACAGGCAGGTGTTTAATAACTATGACAATTAAATCATTTTGCTTATAGCTGCAAAGTACATTGCATAATTAACAGGAAATACCACATCATTTTTAGGGAAATTATAATAGTAGTGTTTTGACTGTTCTGTCTGTTTTACTGCGTGGAAATTGTTGTTACTCTGAAAAGTGTTAAAAAACTGACTAGATTAAAGGAAAGAAAAGAGCTGGTTGTGCATGAGCTAATCTCATATCATCATTTGGAATTCAAAGAGAGGGTTAGACATTCAGTGGTTCAATTAGGCCAAGGAGCTTAGGAACACATTATGCCAATGAGTGTCCTCACTAAGATAGAAACCAAGACTATGATATAGTAAGAGGAGGAGATATGGTGAGAGGACAAAACAGATTATATTTTTCAAATCTAGCAAAGAAAAAGCAGGAGAACCATCACGGTATTCTGCAGCAGGAGGGGAAAAAAGAAAACTGACATCACAAGGAAAAGAATCCATGGCTATTAACATTTAACTATGCACACTTTTGCATCTTTCATGAAAACATCAATCAATGTCTTCATATCTTTTCTTAACATTCACACTTTGCACAATATTCTGCTGTTTGCGTTTTATCGGCTTTTATCTACAGGTTATTGTTTTCGGTTTTACAACTGACTTTGGGAATGTGAAGAAGGTTACAGGCTACAACAGACAAGTTTTAAATTATTCACATTGCTATATTGATGTTTAAATAAATATGACCTACGATAAGTTATTTTTTAAGGCCTTGACTCTACAATTATGCAAAGATTACGTACCAAATAGCTTCCCGTGTAAACAANATGTTATACTTCTGCTTTATTGTCCTGTGTATACGGAGTGCCCATTCAACAGTAAACAACAGTGATGGACCACTCCGTACGAATAACGGTCTGTTTAAATAAATAAAATAAAGAAATAAATAAATAGAACCAAAGAAAGACAGAGATACATTTTGCAGCTGGTAGATGGACAGACAGAGCTGAGGTGAAGTGTTGCTGAATAACAAGAAGGTAGCCCAGCAGTGATAAAGAAAATGAACAATAGGTCTTGAGATGGAAAAGACAAGATTAATGAGCCTTTAAAAAACAATACAAAGCTGAAGAGAAGCCAAGGCCAGGCGTTAACAAAACGGAGTTCTTGATTGACTGGGATGCTGCAAAATCATCGTTAAACTGCATTAACTTTCCGTCCTTTTTAACACATTGTAATGACTCGTGATTGTATTTAATGAGCACATGCTGGGAATCACTGGGAGTCTCTCGTCATTGCAGTTAATCAAGTGTATCAGACAGTTCAGATGTTAAAACAGATTTTGATGTTCCCGCTGTGTAAACATGAGAGAATAGTGGTGTGGGCATTTTTCTGCATCTTAATTGGCTTAGCGAGGGAAAATTCATTAGTTGGTATTTCAGTCTGGTGAAGAGTAAGGATACAGTGTTTAATTGGCTTTTTGTGTCTGCAAATGTGCAGTGGAGACGCAGAGGGTACGAGTGATTTACAAGTGTTCCAATACCAGCAGCGGAAATTACTCAAAATACTCCCAAAAATGATTACATCAGTGAGTGCACAAATCTATGAAATGACTCAAGACCACATCAATAAACTGTAATACTTACACATATACAAACAGCAATCACTTCTTCTTTGCTACTACAAAACAGCGACATGTGCCGCATGAAAGACTTCGAGGGGGGTGGCACTGCAATAGGCCATTCCACAATAAACAAGAAATGAATGAGCAATCAATACTTCCATAGAAGGTTAGCCGCATAAAGCTGTTAATATACGATATAAATGCATTGGTATTGGATCGTTATCAGCCCATATGTGAGGTCCATAAGCAACAGGAAGAGAAAAGGTTTCTGATCATCTCTGCCAATGATGAGACGATACAAGGGCTTACCCTCTGAATGTGAGCACGAACATCGTGTTTCTGGTTTACTCCTTTGCTGATGCGTGTTGGAACTAAACAGACACCATGTGCATGTTGCAGCTGTGCTTAACCTCCTCTCTTATCTAACCAAGGACAGATCTCTTTCCTGGCTGGAGGGAAGAGGAGAGCGAGGTTCAACTTTTACAGCAGGTTCACACGTGGACCCCAAACAGAGATATTACACCTGGAGGGACCACAGAGGTCAGACTACAACCCTGATAAAACATCACCACCCTGCCCCCGACAGCATCGCATCAGCTTGAGGGAAAGAGAGGAGGCTAATGAAAGACGATGTTATCAAACCTGAAGCGTGGATGCCACAAACCTGCTGATGCAGCAACAGAATAGTGCTTCATATGTGATATACATGGCTGACTTTTACAGGCTGATACAGAAAAATCAATACGGTGATATATTACTCGTATCATAACATATTATTCATTTAAATGGTGTTTGAAGTCTTTAAAGTGGATTTCCCAGCAGATAGGATGGCATAGAGATGAGAGAAGAAAAACAGAGACCCTATAATCACATAACCCTATAATTGTTATATCTGTGACAAATTCAAAGCAGCTGTCAGGACAAAATGATGTCTCCACTTAAATTATCGAAATAAAGCATGAAAGTCACATTTAACCTGTTTGTTCACTATATGGAACAAGTTGTGGCCACAAAGATTTGAATCTCATAAGCAACCAAATCTCTTCAACGTAATCACCACTGAACACATAATGTTGAAAATTAGCATTTAATAGCAATTAAACATTTTATTTTGAAAACCATCCACGTTTATGTAATCGGAATTAGCCTCTTTGACCTGTTCAGTTTCCAATTGTGACATTTCTAAAACATTATGTCACAGTTTGCATTTCCACTTCTTTTTTTGGACTAAACTGAAGAGTCTGCAGGTACAGACCAAACAAGGTAGATGTAGAAACCCTTTGTGTACTGAGGGATGTACTCTTGTATATTTGGAGAAAAGGCTTAAAGGAGAGATTGTGTATAAAGTATTAACTTACGTCTGTGTCAGGGCCCTTGTCGGCTCCGGGACAGGAGAAGGTGACAAACTCATGGCAGCGTTTGTGAACCACAAAACAACACACTAAGAGGAAAGAGAGAGAAGAGAGTTTATAATACAACATTGTGAACGGTTTGTCTCATTTTGTTCTTACATGCACATAATGTGCACACACCTGCCAAATCTGCCTCTTTAAACACACAAAGTATTGCATCCTTCTGTCGAGTGTTCTATGCAAGTTGTCTGACAACAGGACAATTATTATCAATCATCCTTAAAATGAGCTGAAGCCTGTCCCATATGGACACATAAGAAAAGGAATACAGATAAACAGACTCACACACGTGTGCACCCACACTGACACCCACACAAATAATGTCACTGTGTTCTGCAGCCCTCAGCTCTTTACAATCTGTTGGGTTGATGGCGATTGCATCATTGTCTCCCACTGAACTCTTCCGAAGTATCACTCTTCGTGACATGGCTGACACGACACCTGATGCTGCTGTCACGTCAGCCACGGTGGCATTTACATTCGAACCACGCCGCAGATTTTGGGAAGGAAAAGCTTGGACATCTGTGACAGCTAGAACACAAGCCGACTCTCTCCATCTCGCACTCTTTGTATCCAACTGTGTTTTCTCCTCCCATTATTTGAAATTTCTCTTTCTTTCTTTCTTTTTCATTCTCACACAATCTGTCTGTGTCTCTCATTGTCAAGCTGCCGGCTTGTTCATGTGCACTTCTGTGCTCTACCACCCTCTTGTTTGTGTGGATTTTTGTCTCTAACTCTGCCAGCTACGTTGCAGTTGCCAGAAAATATGACGGGCACTGGTTAAACGGGAGAAATTAGTTTACAGAGAAGTCCAAAGGAACAGCAGGGGATTGGACTGTCAATTCAAAAGGCTTTATTGTATCAAGATGCTCAGTTAGATTCATGAGAGATAGATTGGTGAATGGAAAGATGAATACTGAGGCAGTAGCAGTGTAGGCTTCCAGTACAAATTCATTAATTTGAGTAATAAAGAAGAAATGAGGCAGAGAGAGAGGAAGGGTTATTAAGCTCATTAAAATAATCACATTTATTAATCTGAGCTCTAATGTTTATGTCTGAGCCATTTGTTTTTGCACAATGTTCATTATAAAAATGGCAGAGTCATGAGTTCTACGTACAGGTAGAAAACACTGTGTGAAATATCACCAAATTGTTGTTGTTTAGCTAGCTGTGGCTAACACTACTCTACTGGAAATCTCTTCGCTGCTCTAAAAACAATTGCAGCTATACTTTTGTAATTTACGTTTAAGTTGTATCAGATTGGTACATTTATATAGCAGCTGCAGAACAGAACATTGTGCAAAAAAACAACAAAAAACAGTAAGAACCAGAATGATAATGCAGTATAGTTAGTTGCACCTGCCCTAAAACCACTTAAAACAGCAAAACTAAAAAAGGATATAACCCCAAAAAAAAACTGTCTAAAACCTTAAAACCAAGGTGTAAAATGTGCCAGACAAAGCAAAAAGGTTATTGAGATACATTGCAGAGGCAACATGTTTCCTTATTGTGTTGTAACTTAAGTAGATTCTTAAGGGACCTAAATTTGATAAGTGGACTCATTAATTATTCATTCGTATTAACACTATTATTTTGCACAGTCAGCCATCTTGAGTTTTATTTCTCATCCCAGGTTATTTCAAAACAGACTTTATTTACTCTCTGAAGCAAAGGAACACTTTTTTTCTTGAAATCTGTGACTACTGAGTATATTAGCAATTGTTTTGGTAGTGACCTCAGAGCCTTCATTCCCACATCATATCCACCCACCACTCGCCCCAAAGTCAAACTTTCAATCCTCCCATCCCACATGCTGCCCACTCTGCTGTCAATGAAATTAAAATATTTGTTCACATGCAGAGATGTAAAAAACACACGATATCTGCTCTGTATTTTCATCCTGGGCGCAGCAACTATGCAACGAACACTTTTACTCAGCGGGATTAACTCTGAGTGCAACCGTCAGGTTTCTCTTTTCCTCTCCACAGCCTACTTACAGCATGTGAATCACGCCTGTTATGAAGTTCAAACTACTTTTCATCTATCAGGGCTCCTCACACTCGCAGCCACACATATACTGGTCCATCGCCACCTCTGTTTGGTGCTGATCTCAGACCAGTTTGAGTTTCTGTTCATGCTGTAGTGTAGAGCTGAGCAGATTGACTTGAAACTGATCTCAGATCAGAGGTGAAGAAGGGGCAGCTAATCTTTGTACAGTGGAGGGGATGGATCTACTTTTTAAGTGTATGTGTGTAGAACAGTCAACGCAAAGGATTATAGTCGGAGAGAAACACTGTCTCTGTCTTGTGTAAGTCTGGCTAAGCTTGCCTGACACACACACACACACACACACACACACACACACACACACACACACACACNCACACACACACACACACACACACACACACACACACAGATATGCTCATTAATCTAAAAACTGTCTTAAGAAACCAACATGCTGCAGTGGCTAAAACACAGATGCATGCTGGGAGCTTGTGGGGTATCACATGTGCCCACCAATGAGGAGTAATAAAATAGGCTCCGAAGACGCCTCATACACCGTACATCTACACTTTCTCTGAGTTGGCTAAATCAATAAAAATTTATTTCTCCACACTCCCATATAAAGAGAGAATAACAACAGAAGTAACATACACCAGAAGCCCTGGACGAGGACCTAAATGAGAGGTTTTCTGTAACTTTAATGCAGCTATAATAAATGTTTATATGACTCCAACACAGGGAGACTCGATAGAGGGAAGTGTCGCTGTCTCAAGATGGTTCAGTCCTCTCAGACTGAAGCAGCAGGAGCAGAGGTGACATCGTGACATACTGTATTATTGGGGCTATTATGATTAATTACCTTGGGCTTTGTTTCAGAAGCTTGATTGCATAAGCACATAGATAAGGGGCTTTGGCTTTACAGAGCAGCTTACACAACACAAACACTTTCTTGCAAGTGAAGCAGAAGGTGGAAAGTGCATTATAAACATTTGCATGCATAATTTGAGCGTTTATCTCTATGGATGGCCATTTTGTGGCATGTTTTCACATATACAGTATTGCATGCAGGTGGCATTTCTACACCTCTCCATCCTCTATCCCCCTATCTCCCCGCCACTGATTCTTTAAAGTGTGGATTTGGCCCTGGCTAATCTGGTGAAATTGGGTGCCTATCAAGCCACTGTTAATACAATTATGCAGCGCTGCAGCCAAGAAGAAAAGGTTTGCTGTGGAGATAAGAAAGACGAGGCCAGACACCTGTAGCGCCAGACCAACTCAATACCCTCCAGACACATTCAATTGATCCAGGCCCCCAGAGTGCATCCGAACACAAAGAGAACTGTAGCTTTGATCTGAGATCCACAGGAGAAAGGGAGGGAAGAGTGCGAGAGAAGGGATGAACAGGCGGAGATGGAGGGAACAAATCCACAGGGGTCTAGGGTTCCTGCGACTGTAGAGATGGCTGTTCCGAAGGAAGTCAAAAATGTCTTTATCTGCTCAAACAATTGTTGTAGTCTTGCATCTACATCAATCTTAGTGGCAAAATATTGCTGAGGTGTAAAGTAAGCTGACAGCTTTGAAAATAACAAAAGATGACACAAATTGTATGGAAATTATGCACAAATATAAACACAGACAAAGACGAGCCTTCCTCCCTCCACGGCTCTGTGCTCTTTCTGTAAATTGTCAGGTTAAAAAATAAAACTGCGAGAGGGGAGGGGGGAGGGTGTTTTATCCTTGCTCTGTTATTTTCAGGCTTGATTCTGGCCAGAGCTGGAACAAGGTGTATCGAACCCCACCGTGGCAGTACGGAAGAAAAAGAGGGACGACATTTCCTCTACACCTGGCCAATAGATGCTATAAATACACGGGCGACATGTGTCCATGTACAAACACCATGACATACAGAATAACAGGCCGCTGAAGGATGAATGAAAAGCTATTCCTGTCACGAGCCTGTGTAAGTGCTGAATGAGAGAGGTGGAAAAAGGCTGGGAGAGAACCATAGAGAGAATCAAACAACGAGCCAATGGGAAGTGCTGTAGCCTACATGCAGCGGACAGACCTACTCGTAGTCAAGTTCTCGTCAAATTTTGATGGAGTTCAAGGGTCAGAGAGAAACGATATCTGTCTGTTGTACACTGTCTAGATCATTTTCACAACCCTCCTGCTCTCAAACCGAGACATACACGATCTCATCTGCACAGCACATTAGTCCGCACGTTTACTACATGAGGCATTACAGACAAACCAATTCCATCTCTGTATAGCACTAATCTAAGTCCACACTGTGATATTCATGTGTACAAAATGTCCATGTCAGCATCACCACAGAAGCATAAAACAATATTTGGTAGAAGTTTCATTTCTCTTCTAGAGATCTCCAAATTCAATGGTGATCTTTGAACTCCCACCGCTGCAAAGAGTGACACATCTGAAGTTCCCAGAGCCCCAGGTCATATCTCTGTCTCTCTCTCTCTCTCTCTCTCTCTCTCGCTCTCTCTCTCTCTCTCTCTCTCGCTCTCTCTCTCTCGCTCTCTCTCGCTCTCTCTCGAGGCTGGTGTAGATGGATGGCTTGTGACGCAGACGGACTGATGCTCTGACAGTGAAGACAGTCAGAGAGCCCAAGCAGTGGCTTTCCACAGATTATGCCTGTGGATATTTTAGGACAGAGATTTGAGTTAGTGTTTCTTCTGTATCTATAATGTAAGCACAATGTTTGTGTGTTATTTATATCTCTAATATTTCCATTGGCTGTTCAAACAAAGTACTTACATTAGCCAATGAGATCTCACTGTTTCCATCATCTTACTCATACAATGCACAATGAAGATATAGACAATAGAAATCTGTCTGCTTTCAGATATTTTGCCATATTCTTTATAAGTAATAGCTGCCTAGCTAATGTCTCTAATCATTTTATATAATATATGATGTAATATTAGTAATCACGAATACAAGCAGACGAAATGAGTTGGAAATTTGGGGGACGCTCGGAGTAGCACTGCTGCTCCTTCACATC